GACATTGAGCTATTTAGCAGGTGGGTGTTGTGAAGCGACAGAGTCCAAATAGTGTGCAGTTAAAGATAGTGCGGAGTTTAGGATTCGGGTCCCAAAATGCAAGTTTGTATTTGGAGTGAGAGCTGGGCAGGTTCGTGTTGCCGCCTTCACTGTCGGACTTGAACTGACTACTCCGTAACAAAACCGCTGGTGTCATTCTGCTAATATTAAGTAGCTAAGCCTCATGTTGGTTGCGCTACTCCTGTGATGCCGACTTCTCCACTTGACATGCTTGCTGCCAGGCTTCGTGCCCGCGAAAGGAACACTGCAAGGTTGTCGATGCCACAGCACGAGTGCTTCACCAACTGCGCGAGCTTGGGCGTGCGCTTTTGAAGAAAGCGGCACTCTGGTTGAAAAACAGAAGGCAAATATGGCTGTCATCGTCGAGTAGAAATAAAGCAAACATCTATGCACAGCAGTGTAAGTACTAGAAATAGCAGTAGATGTAAAAGAAAGATCAATTGCAGTACTGATGGCGGCTCTGGAGCGAAGAGCAGTCGTTGCATTACTGGCACTGCCGGGTCACTGCCCCTTATTCAAGCACCAGTCGTGCTACTGAAGACAGGAAAGCCGAGAGTGAACATGGGACCATAAAGTAGTTGCTCTCGGGCATGCCACCTGTATCTTACCAAACATGAGGATGTCATACAGACCTTCAGAACAGTAGTACTCATCCACCACGGCACAAGTGACAAACGCTTTGGAGGTCGTGATGGTACAGTACTAGCAGCGAATACAGTGTCACCAAAACTGAAAGCAACCTCGAGCAACAGTCAATACTCGTGATGTTTGTGCTGGTGCAGACAGTGAAACTAGCCGAAACAGGGAGGAGGAGCATTATCAATAGGGACAGCCGCAGCAGTACTACTACAGCAGCAGCAGCAGCAGCAGCAGCAGTGATTCTTTCGGTCAAGAACCGTGAGAGTGGCAGGAAAGCCAGCTGTATGTAGTGGGAGCAGCTTTTGTCATTGTAGTGTCATTGTACTGAACTCACGGCGAACAAAGTAAATGTAACAATAGTCGCCATAAGCGGCACCACCAGGAACCATGGTGCTGTCAACTGTAGTGGAAACTAACGTACTGCCAATATGAATTCATGCAGCACCACAGGTTGTGTATGAAGTTGCCGCAGACAGTCATCATGCTCGTGCAGATACAACTGATTGCGGTCCCCGACATGCCTCTTACCTTCCACCACGGGTCCAAGTGCGACTGCGTCTTGACTCAAATCGTAGATTCCCACATAGACGACGGATCAACGACCCGAGCCGACCCGTCCCGCCGAAATCTGCCAAGCACAAAGAAAGCGTTGGAAGCTGTGAAACCCGATTGAAGACGTGCCCACCTGCAAATTACGCCAGGCATAAATCGCCAGCTCGTAGACCTGCCCGAGGACAACACATCAAGTGTAATTACTCTTCAAAAGTCGCCGTCAATGGCTTCCGCGTGGGTGAGATTGTGGTTTTGCACGAGCTACCCTGTTGTTTATGGTGTGTTGTAGTTGCCGTTGTTAGGATGGACAACACATTTTTTCTATTGCTAATGACTAATGGTGATCACTTCGATTCTGTTGCCACAATGCTGTGTTGCAACTTGGGTAATTATGCTGCTGCTGATGTTGTTGTCGCCGTTGCTGGCGGTTCTGGGGACGCTGGTCTGGTGTTGATCGTGTCGGTGCTTTCGATTTTCCCATTGGGAAGTCCCGTGCTGGGGAGGTTCTCTCCTGATGAAGATGATGATCACATAATGTTGAGAGATGGGGGGGAAGACGAGGACGATGATCATGCCTTTTTTTCGTTGGTCTTGCTGGTACCGAAACGAGTAGAGCAGGGAGGGGTGATAAATACGGCAACTCCAGCAAAAAGCACCTCGACTGAAAGCTATGTTGACAGTGATGCGGATGACGAACACGACATGCAAGAGTCATGAAGACATCGAAGCTGCAACTGGTGCTGTTGCTGTTGTTGCCGCTTTGTTGCTACTGGTTCCTGCTCTGTGTTTCTGACCGTCCGCCGGCAGCATCACTTCTTGTCGTTGTCACGTCCGTGCGATGAATGCTTCCATAATCATAGCCCCCAGCATAGTGACACAAATACTTGAATACCACCACTGTCAGTCTTTCCTGTCAGTCATATTCGTCTCCATCATGTTGCTGTCATCGTTGCACTCAGTATTCGTCTCATCATCAGGGCAATCGCGGCGTTGCCACTACAATCGTCATTTCCATCAAGTGCAGAACGATCACGCATCGTCATTACCTTCGCGCCACCGTCATCGTCTCATCTTCGCATCTCTGGCCTCAGGTTCTGCATCGCTCTTGAAGTGCTGGTTGATGGTGTCTTCCTAGAAAGGCGGAACTCAGCAGCTGACGATTACGCAGCGGCGGCTAAAAGGTTGTAAAGGTCATAGAGTCTTAGGTGCAACACCATTGTTCGGAAAGCGTGAGAGGAAATCCATATCCGCGCAGGTGCGTTCGCAGCTTATGCTGATTTCTCGCGCAAACTAAGGCATAGCAGAGAAGGCCAGCTACAAAGCAACCTGAATAAGTGGTACAGATGTCTTGGGGTATGTTCTGCTATCACCGGCAGGTATCTCGTGGTTGTTCAGGCTACTGTGGTACACCTGAGGCCGTCCCTTGATGACTTCAGCCCAACGAGCGTTTCGGGTTTCCTGCTTGACTTTGACAGACCTTACAAACGGAATCTTGTAGGACCAAGCATCAACTTTGGTCTTGTCCCAGCCGATGTAGGCATTCCCTGGCGGCGATGTGCTATGGGATTCAGAACTCAGAGCACGTGCACGGCTGCAAGGAAACGCTACCACGGCTGCGCCACTGCCTGCACGAGTAGGGTTTATGCCTATGCAGTTTACGCACAATCGTAGCACATTAGGTAGTACTGCTGACGATTCAGCTCAAACTAGGACATGGACATCACAGAAGCAGAAACTTTTAGATTGGGACATGTCTGTTTCAGTAAACCAACAAACAGAACATGTATGAAAGATAGAGCAATCAAAGGGACATGTGCTGCGCTGATCAGAATCGCTGCCGTCACAGTCACGGTCAAGCTCAGGGTCAATCATCCTGCCTGTCTTCATGCTTTTCCTAGTCTACTAGTTCCCGTCACAATCAACATCATAGCTTGAGCCAAGGTATACCTGGACTCATGCCAACAAGTGCAACGGCAGCGCAGAGCCGACAGAAAGAGCAATCCTTACCAGTAGGACCCAAAAACACCTCACCAGCAAAAGTCATCATCAAAAGGCTCCTATCATGAAGCCCCTCAATGAGGTTTCAGCTGAACTATGAATACCCCATCCCACTTACTTGGAGACGAATCCGCGAGCGAAAGACTACAACCTACAAACGCATCCCGTGGCCTGCCTGACCAATATGTCATCCTCGTCCTTTCCTCCGCGACCTTGGGAAAGCCAAACTCAAACTTATCACGAAACCCTAAAACCCTAAGCCCTGAAGCCCTAAACCCTAAGTCGGTTCGCCAGGCCCCTTGAATTGACCCATGCAGCGGCCTCAAGGCTCAGCTCTTCCCAAAAAACACCTCAAAGCTTCTTCCAGCCCCTGTCTGGGAGCGCTCTCCGTCTTGGCCCTCGTGATTGAAGCCAAAGACAGGAAGGACATGACTACTGGTTTAGGGATTGAGAGAAAGATGAGATTCCAGGTGTATTTTTGAGCTCATGTCATGCTGTGCATACCGCAGTCTCGGTTGATGGAGGACAAGCTGCATGAACGTGAGTTTATTCCACGAAGTTCACTGGTCCATCAGTTGTAGACGGATGATCAAACTCGCCTTAGAGCCCGGCGATGTCGTCGACCCACGGGAGCTCGAGGCTCACCCATGGGTTGATGTGCAAGGCGAGAGAAAGGAACCTGTAGGTGAGAATCAAGAGATGCTACACCCCTTCGCAGAGAGCGAGGCTGACTACAACAAGACAATTACTACTCCGACGACGACATCTACTACTGCTGCTACTGGAGTATGCGACGACGACTACTACGAGCACTACACGACGACTCCTGCTGCGACGGCGACCATTATTATACTACAACGGCGTCGACTAAAACTACGACGACTTCGACTGCTGCTGCTGCAACCAGATATACTGTCACTGGGCTTCTAATACCTCTGTGCCTACGGGTACTACCACCACTACGAGCACCCTGGCAGGAGCACAACCACGACGACGAAGTCCACTGCGCTGATGTGCCGCTGCTTTCGCTGCTCTGGGTGCTGCTGCTCCGACAGCAACAAGTTCGATCAAATGTACACTCATCAGTACCACCGCTGGCATCAATGTCTTCACTGTCAATCCATTTCACCGAAAGTGACCGTAGTCTTTATCATGCTGTTCACATGGTCATCGTTATCGTCGTTGTTGTAGTGATCGTTGCGTACCACCGGCATCATGATCATGATCATCATCATCATCATCGTCAGCACAGATGCAATCCTTTCAGCAACAACAGCGTCTGATTGCAGTCTGAGCAGCCCTCGCCCAAGCTTCTTCTCACCTCGCGCAAACCTCTGCTGCAAAGTCTCAGCTTTGAAGTGCAAAATGTCTGCCAGAACTAGAAACGGCGTAAGCCAGTGATTATGGTCGGCCTCCGTGATGGAGTGACATGAACCCGGCCCACACGTGGGGGCGCGGGAAGACGGATTTTTAGGGATGCTACATGGTACTGGAGTTCATCATGTAGCGATCAACCCTGCTCTGGCTGCTGCCGGTACTACTGCCGCTGCTTCTGCCACAACTCATGGTGCTACTTGCTAGGATGTTAGTACCGCAGATTTTCCTTTCACAACCCAGAAGCTGCAAAGCAACATTGCCCGAAGTCGGGTAGAGCAACATATGCCTGCCGTCCATGCTCGACAAAGACAGACTGACCTAAGATTCCCTGATCTACCGGACAAATCTGCCCAAGAACTACCGGGGTCTCGGGCAGCTCTTTGGCACGTGCACCAATGGATGCAGCCGATGTGAGGCTGCGAAGCTCCCGGCCTGGAGGGCGGAAAACGGGGGGAAAAGGGCCTTCCTTGCAGGGGCAGGCTGGGGTTTCGGGGTTCAGGATCTAGGGCTTCGGGTTTAGGGGTTTAGGGGTTTCGGGGTTTCGGGTTTAGGATCTAGGCTCCAAGAATGAAGATTAGCAGCATTCTGAAAGGGGAGTTCATAGAATCAGGTCTCCTAGGGGCCCTCAGGCGGTTGGGGGAGGGGGGGTAGGGCGGCATATAAGGACCTAAATAGGGCCTTTCCCCCCTCGGCCCGGAGGGCCAAATCGTAAACACGGCCCAGAGCCGGGTGCAGGGCTTCCGTGCTCACAGAGCTGACTTGCTTCCTGCAGGCGTAAATTGACTCACCCTCCTGTTCAGCACAATGGCAGCATGTCTGCCGAATGAAACAATTGCCAAGGAGCAAAACCCGGAAACCCTAAACCCTGAGCCCTCGAAGCGGTGAAATCTAAACTCACCAAATATGCGAAGTCTACCACCGCGCCAACGCTGAGGACAGGGCTCTTGGGAGCTTCCTCCTCGGTGCTACCTGGCAGTCTGGGATCTTGGGCTTAGGGTTTCGGGTTTAGGCGTTTCGGCTTCGGGCCCTGGCCTTTCATGGGCACATGGTGTTACGATAGCGACGACGCCCTGCTGCTGGTAGCATCAATCATCAGTAGAATCCGTAGAAATACTACGATTAAAGATATTAGCCGCTGTTGGAGGAGGAGCAGGAGTAAGTAGTAGTAGTAGTAGTAGTAGTAGTAGTAGAAGCAGCAGCAGCAGCAGCAGCAGTAGCAGTAGCAGCAGCAGCAGCAGAAGAGTGGGAATAGTAGGAATAGGAGTAGGGGGAGAAGGAGTAGAAGGACGAGGAGTTGCGGCAGCAGCAATAGTAATGGCAGCAGCAGACAGTACTGTGCAAATGCATGCCGGTCGCTGATCATCCTCATCCACAGCAACACTCTTCGCTCATGCTTAGCTTCGTGCTAGTCATTCTCATCCTTCTCGCCATCCTACACACAACACACAACAGGGGTGCCTGCAGACTCCTGCGGTGCCCGCGAGCCAGGCATCAGATCCAGCTCTGCTTTGCGTCCTGGAAGAGACCCTCCCTTATAGGTTCGTACGTCGGTCATGGGTCGGTGTTGGGACGGGGGTTATGGGTGTAGTAGTTCGGGGTTGAATTTCTTAGGGAGGGCCTCCAAGGCCTGAGACATAGCTTCGGGGTCTCAGGCGCTCTAGCAGTAGCAGTAGTGGTGGAAGAAGCATTACTGGTCGCGATAGTGGTAGTGGCACTGGAGGAGTAGGAAAAGGAGTGGAATCAGAAGTCGTGGTAGCAGAAGGAGTCGAAGTAGAGAGCAGAACGAGCTGTAGCAGTAAGAAGACGAATGTAAGCATATCAGCACTGAGAACTATGCTGGCTTCAGTACTGCCAACAAGAGCCACATGACAACAGCTGCAGCAAGTAACAACTGACAGTCACACGAAGAACGGCGGAGAACAACATCCTGCCTAATGCCTCTAGCTTCTTCCGATCGATGCCGTTGCCCTGGGCGAAGGACTGCAACACCTCCAGGAGTCAAACATACTGACAAATCGAAGATGCGACTGGATCCCTCCCTCCCTCCCTCAACTACATGCATATTGAACTGAATATAAGGAGCCAGACACATCTGCATAGGCAGGTTCGCAGGAAGATGCCCACCTACTGTATTCCTCTCTGTCCAGTCTTTTGCCTAAGTTGCCGACGGACACACCTCCACTGCATGCAAGAATGTAGACGTAGGGAAGCACGGAAGTAAGCATGTTTGCATGCGTGCGCGCATGAGCGAACTTGCGGATGCAGGCCGGTGTATGTCCGTGCTGTTGGACACAACTACATAGACTTGCATACATTCCTGCCTTCGCCTGCCCAACCCCCCAACCCGCATGCATTGACCTATGCATATCTCTATAGCTAAAGTATCGTACGTCTGTATGCCTTTTGCACATACATAATGTGCGTGCACGCGTGTATGGACATACATGCGCTACATACATGCATACATGCATACACACATGACATGCTGCATGCATGCAGGCAAGGATAGAGACCGACGCGAAAGCAACGGCTACAACCAGTGAAACAGCCAGACTCCCAAACACCTGTAGCCCTCGTAGCTCTGATCCTCATCGAGGACTTCAATGATTAAGGGATGGTAGTGCTAATGAGACTTCGACGGCCTGGGACCCTCCTATCTCCAACTCAAACCCTCGCTTTAGGGTTCAGCGCTTACGTAGGGCTTAAGAAGCTTAGGTCCCATCTCCAAGCGAGGCGCTTCCATGTTTTCTTTGGCATGTCCATCGTCAGGATTCAAGGCAAGAGCCTTCTTCCTGGAATGACTTTTTGGCAAACTCCCAGACGATGCGAGGATTTGTGGCCGGGAAAGATGCCTGTGTGTATTTATACCCAAATGATGCTGAGAGACGCATCATACGTACATGCATGCCTGCATATATACATACATACCATACCATACCATACCATACCGTAACATAACATAACATTACAGTACAGTGCAGTACATTACATTACATTACATGACATTACCATACATGCATACATACATACATACATGCATACATACGTACATACATACATGGATACACACATACATACATACATACATACATACATACATACATACATCCATGCATACATACATACATACATACATACACACACGCACACGTACATGCATACATAAACACACATACATACATACATACATACATACATGCATGCATGCATGCATGCATGCATACATACATACATACATATATACATACATGCGCACATACACATGTAGATACACAGACAGATAGGTAGATAGATAAATAGAGACATATGTATATGCACATGCCTGCAAGATCGATCCAGACTACATATTCAGATGTTGGACAGCTTGTTCATACACACTCACAGTAGCACAGGCTTATATGTTTGCTAACACACATACGAGCGACAGACATCGCCTTGTTTCAAAGGCCAAGCAGCTTCAACAACCTGCTCACAAACAGTCTGAGCTAAACAGCTAAACCAAATGTAGTCGTTGTCTCATCTCTGCACTGGACACCCTACTTGCCATGCAAGCAGCGAATCAATCAAATTTCCGAAAAATGTGCAAATTTTGCACCATCTCATTCGATGAGTCTTGGATCCATGACATTGACGAGAGATGCACTGAACTACTTACACACATTTGTTTTGGTGGCCACTCTTTTCGAAAGACTGCGCAAAGCGAATCAACACGAACCAACCGTGACGAAAGAGCGTTAAACATGTGATTGTGTGAACCCTGGGTACCTGCACAATTCCAATATCCAGCGCCGTAAGATGCTCCAGCCATCCAGGAGTATGAGCAAATCTATTGGGCTATCCAAGATCAATGCTAGCAGCTACCGTGAGCCGTCGTATCCTGGACCGCACCGGTGCGCCCTGATATGTATGTATGCATATATATATAAATATATATGGTCGTTTCATAAAATAGAGGACCCTAATATTATACAGGACCCTAAATAATAGTAGGATCTTCGTTTTCGAGAACCCTACATACGCTACTCCATGCTTTCTGAAACTCCCAAATATGGGCAGGGAGAGACCTGACCCCCCCTACACCCCGAACCCTAACGAAAAAGGGGCCTCTTAAGGTTTCCTAAAGCAACAAGAATTCTTCATCGTAGTAGTAAGATAGTAATAACAAGAAGAAGACCGCCGGTTTAGGGCTCTGGGTTTAAGGGTTTAAGGGTTTAGACTGCTGCAAGTAATCATCATAATCCTTCTTAATCATTCTTAAGAATGTCTGCGACTTTCGGGCTTGCTGTCTCCAAGGCCATCGTGGCATATGGGCCAGCCGGGTAAGATTTCGGCCCCCAGCCTTCCAAAATTACCAGTAGTGCACCTCAAGGTTCCGTATGATGATCATAGAGAGTGAAAAAATCAATAATAACACTGAGAAATAATGCGTAACAATAGCAAAATACGAGTAACAGCAATCAAATAACAGCAACACTGATGATCTTGAATCATGATCATGAAAAGTAATAATAGTAGCAAAAAAAGAAAATATGTGTATTAGTATTATAACAATCATTCTCAACACAATAGTAAAGTCACACGCTGGATCCTCAGCCCCGGAAGCCGGAAGCAAAGAACCCCGCCAAGACCCGCGTGGGGCCATCAACGCCGCTTCTGAAGTGCGGAATTTGCCAACCCAGAACCCTAAACCCTGAACCTCTAAACCCCTGAACCCTGAACCCTAATCAAACCCTAAGCCATAAACTCCTAAGCGCTAAACCCTCAACCCCCAAACCCTTAAACCCAGGATTACGGCATGGCGGATGCATGCGTTCTCAGGACCGGACAAGGCTCTCAACGCCAATCCAAAGTCCTCAACAAGGTGCCGTAATAATTACAATAGGGTTTAGGGTGAAGGGTTCTGTAAAAGGGTTCGTTCAAGGGTTAGTATAAGAAATGAAGAAATGAATATAAGGGCCTTCGTGATCATAATAGGGTTTTCGGAATGTTAATGGCATTCGTTATTGGACTATAAGAGGATGATCTTACTATAAGTAACCATTACGACACCTACAATCCGTGCTTCAACATTTGAGGCTCTAACCTTAGGACAGTTGGAAGGCCGTGAAACCTTGGGGTAAAGAAGCTTTGCTAGGCACAAAGAGGCCGCGACACCGAGAGCGAGAGAGACCGGGTTTAGGGTTTAAAAAGAGAACAAGAGAAAGGCAGAGCGAGATGGAGGAACCCAGGCATGCGTGATGCACCGTCCTATAGACTTGTATGGTTGACATTACCCTACCTTGGACTCTGGCCTTCGCGACTGCGGTGTGAGCCTTTTAGGGCGATGCTGGGATTAGAGCGCCTCTTGGGGAAGAGTAATTGGGGTAAGAAAGCTGCCGGCAGAGCATAGAAAATCAAAAAGGCCCCCAAATCCCTGAAGACTAAGGCCCGAAAGCTCTCGACCATTCTCCTCTAACGCTGAGACTCTCAGAAAACAGAAACATCCCGTCACGCAGCCTAACCGCCGAAAGAGAACCCGCGAGTAAAAGACTGAAGCCTATGCACAAATGCAAGGCAAAGACTGACCCTAGCGTGATATGTGATGGTGGCGGCGGGGCAGGGTTGGTGGATGTGGCGGTATTGACTGTAGTTTGGTGAAGATGCTGACAGGGGTGTAAGTGGCGATCACAGCCCGAGGACGCTCTTTGGGGAAGGTCGGGAATGGTGAACAGCTTTCTTCATCTTCCTGGCCCCCAGATTTCCAGGCGATGTTCCCTCCGCAGCTGAGTAGCAAAGCATTTCGCAGCTTTCTTGGTCGGCGAAGTAGCAGAGATAGGGACAACCCGGCACCCTATGCTCAAAAACGCACATTCGATGCTCGCAATCCTAGAGGGTGTCAGATGCTCCTTTGAAGAAGAACTTCTAATTTTCCCGAGCCTGAACTCTATAAACCCTATAAACCCTAATCTTCAGAAGATGTAGTCCCTCAACCTTTGCCAGGCAAGGCAGTCCTTGTTGCGCATGAAAGCGACGCCTAGGTTCGCCTAAGCAAGTGATCACTTGCACCATGCCTTGAACCGTACATCTGAGGCTTCAGATGTCTCTAACTTCGTGACAGAGCGCCAACAGGATGGTCCGTCTTTCGGGTTGTAGAAGCACGCCCCCCCTTATAGAATGAGGCTCTGAAGAAGCGCTCTAGCTGCGGGATCACGGCTACCTTTCCCGATCGAGGATCAAGGCTGTTACAGTCTTGGCGCAGGGTGCAACAGGCGCCTGGGCTTAGGTAGCAAACAGATCTCGGGTCTTGGGACTCGCTGCACTAACCCTCTGGAAGCCTTGACCTTGTTTAAACCCTGGGGTTCCGAAGCGGCAAGCTGCAAACGCAGAGTCTCTAGCCCAAGATCCGGCTAAACGTGCGTGCTTGCGACACCTTGAACCTCAACAACCCTGCTTTCGACTCCTGAACAGGATGTCCAATGAAGCCGAGACGCAAAGGACACGTGATCACCGACAAACCTGCACACGACCAGCTTGAGCACTTAAGGTCGGCTGGTTTAGGACAGTTTAGGGTTAAGAAGGAGCCCGAAAACCTGCCATATCCGGGGCTTTACATATATTATATATATATAGATATATATATATATATAGGGATGATGTAACGGTGGGGTGTATGGCAAAAGCGCCTGGCTGCCGCCTTGAAGCTCTCAATGGCCTGCCCCGGCATCAACAGAAAGGGCTGCAGAAGGGGGGTTTGGGTGTAAGGCTCGCTTACGGTTTAGGGTTTAGGGTTTAGGGTTTAGGGTTTTCGCTAATCTGGAAGCATCAAAGAGACTCTGAAGGGGATTACGTACTCCGAGAAGCGTGGCATCACATCGTGAAGAATGGTACCAACTCGCAATCGAACGCATACATGCAATACACTCTGATGTAGGAGAAGGAGCAGGCACAACTATCAAGCAAACGACTGGAGCTCGCCTACAGAAGCATCTGCAAGTTCTATCATGTGGCTGCAGCCGATTTCCCTTGTCGTGGCACAAGATTTGACCTTCTTGGGCGAGAATGCAAAAGCTCCATGTTTGTGGGCCAGGTCGCTTGGACAAGGGAGTTGAGATGCACATTGACTGGAATAATAATATTGTCAGTACTAGTAACAGGGGTCATAATAACAATAACAATAATTCTCATAATCATGATACTAATAATGACAATAATACAAACGACACTTATCACTATCATGATAATATTCATACCGATAATGATAATCTTAAGTGATATAAACATGAGAGTAAGCGGTGTGCTCAGGCTTTCGGGTGCAATTCTGCGGACTGCTTGCATCACACTCGAAGAATGGCTCATGCCATTGCTTCCGGGCAAGCCTAAAGGGCTTAGGGCTTAGGGTTCAGATGGTCTCTTGGAGCAGGAAACCTTTCGTTCTCGTCACGCTTCAATCGAAAGCCCTAGATCTCAGAAACCCATGCATGGTGAACTGCGAAAAATCCACAACGAGCGGCCTCCGGCAGTCGATTCGCATTCGCCAGGTCCTCTCAAGGCTGGGATCAAGCCCGGCCATGGGGTACAGGAATTATTTGCCTTACATCGCCTTCAAAAAACGACGTGGGGTGCACATGTCTGCCAGGCATGTAAAGACAGGCTTGCTGGGGCCCTTCGGCCTTCAGCTCTTGCTGCTTTATATAGTAATAAGAACACTGAGATTCAGAATGTTAATAATATTCATAGTTCGCTAATAATATCTATATAATAAAAGTTAGTATTCAATGGATTGAGACTTTGTTTGACGCTCGGCTTTGAGCGACTCCAGCCGTGCACTAATGCTGTATAAACACAAGTTCCAAATGAACTTGACAGGGCTTCGATGTTGTGTGTTCGAGCTTCTGGAAACCCAGGACTCGCGATTCAAAAGCTGTGCCTTGGCGACGAAGTCGTGCTGGGCGTTTGGATCATCCAGGTCGTAGCCCGGAGGCGGCACTGCAAGCGACAGTCGGCCGTGGTTTGGACCAGCGAGGCATCAACCACACAGGTAGCCAACTACTCCATGCATATCTTTTGGACCTGTGTTTATGTGCCTGTGTGAACAAGTAGACAAGAATGGTGTCTGAACAAAGTTTGGGACCGTGGCGTTATGCAGAGAAGTTTGCCTTTATCTTCATCTTCCCCATCATCGTCATTCTGATCATCATCATCATGATCATCATCACCATCATCGCAATCGCCATCATCTTTATAATCATCATCATCACCACGACATATCAAGGCAATGACGCTGATAACGACAACGCTAATGAAAACGTAGTGGCAATGCTAGTGAGAATGTGGATGCTCGACCGATGGCGACAAACTATGTACGAACCCGAATGCATTGTGGACCACTGTGCGCATTGTGAGCTTGCACTTTAGAGGACATGTGGTGCCAGGACCAGCAGTTTCTGGCCGGCGGATGGCACCGAAGCAAGCATTGTGGCCGTACCGACTGAAAGGTTCTCAGTTTGTCAGGAGGGTGGCGAAATCACTGTCCCAATGCCTTGACAGCACCCGAAAGAGCGTGGCACTCTTCTCGCGGCTTTGCCCAATGAGTTATGCAGGCAGCAACCACCATCATCCCTTATCCCCATGCAGTCGGCTGAAAAACCCAGCCAACTGCTTGCCAGAAGTTGAATGGACATTTGCAAGCGTGAATCTCTGCGAACAGTCATTTACGTCCGCCTACGTACATATACAGGTCGCATACATACATCTGAACATTCGTACATACGTACATAATTATGTAAACATAAGCATCTACATAAATTTGCATATACATCTACGTATACCTATACAAATACATAGACATAGACAAACACATATGCATACACATGCACATGTACACAAATCTTTATTTCCTCAAGCGGTGTAGGTAAGAGGTTCAAGTGGAATGCCTTCACTGGGTGGTCTTGGTTGGAGTGGTCTCGGAAGGTGGTGTCGGTGTGGTCTTCCGCTGGTGAGCACTTTGGTCTTTCAACGTTGGGGGTGTATGCCAGCACTCACATGTCCGCCTTGTTCGACCCACCTCTAAACGTTGAGGGAGCAGACTTTCGGAGATGGCGGATGCCGCAAGCTAGGATGTGGGAACGTCCCGAGCTCGAAAACCAGACAAACAGCCATGGAACCCTCGCACCTTGTGCTGCCACAAGCAGCAAGAACAAAGCTGAGACTGAGACCTCAGGACCGTCGACAATTCATGGAGCAGCTCGTGATCACGCGCGCAAGCAGCAAGCATGTCTTAATCTGCCCTGTCAAGTATGCCGCTTTATTCGACGAAAATCAGCATATCGACCCTGACATAGGGGCTTTGAGGTCTTTGAGGTAGTTTCTACTATAATAATAACATCAAGGAAACACCCTTAAACATACCACTCTGACCATTCAGGCCCCCATGTAAACCCCTCACTTCCCCAGATTCCGAACAAAAATCCCGGCTTGGCCAAGGGCTCTGAAGCCATGCCAGGCAGCGCCCATGGCATCAAGAAGAGAGCTATGTCTCTGGGTGTATCTTCAAGATGATCAATGTAGGGGCCTTAATAGTTGGAATAGGGTTTTGGGGTATACTATACTGTTACTATATATAGTGTAATTATACTAGGGAGCTCTCAAAATAAATATTTAGGCCCCAATATTACAGTATACCCTTGTCATAACCCTAATGTGAGCCCCCTGCGCATTGAAACCTGGGAACTCTCTGCGCGTTTTGCAAGCAAAATTTCGGGCTACGCGTTAATTCGGTTGCAGGGGTGCTGGGTTCCCGGGAACGCGATCCTTGTCCTGTACACGTTCAAACTCACGGCTTGAGGCTTTGGGTTGCATCTTGATGGTGGATTTTAAAATTGTTGAGATTTTCGTACATATGTTGTAGCAACGGATCGCAGTGAGCCTTTCTGCAGAAGGCTCAGGTGACGTCAACAAAACCCACTTGCTTCAGCAGCACGAGCAAGGATCACGGTGCTCAGAACTTTCCCCTAAACATTGTTCGACCGGAGACTGGGAATTTCGGATTCTTGTCGTGCTCCAGGCTGAACAAGGCTCCCTTGAATTGTGCCTAACACAAAGGCGGAATGTCCGAAACAACCGATCCCAGCGACGCTCAAAGAGGAACCACTACCACCGCTGCCGCCAGCGCGACGACGACGACTACTGGTACCCTAAACCCTAAAACCCTAAAGCCCTAAACTCTAAACTCTAAACCCTAAACCCTAGAACCCTAGCAGTGGTGTCAAAATCAACAGCTATCTGGAGCCATCTCCTTGCTTCCAAGAAAAAGGACTACGAGACTCCCGTAAAGGATTCTATAGGGGTTATACTACTGACTGACTAGAAGGGCTCTATGGCATAGGGGCCTGAATAGTCAGAAAAAGGCTTCGGGCCTTCGGGTAGTGTCCACTTTTAGAGTGAGGACCCCTAGGGAATAGGATTGGTAATTATTGAGGCTTCTATGTTGGGCTCGCACGTCAAGCCGTAGGGTCGCTACCATGCAGCGGAGCAAACAGAGTGCAAAGAAGGCTTAATCAGTGCTCCTGTTGACCATCGGCGGCGAATCGTGAAGATTTGCAGGACCGACCCAAACTCTAAACATCTAAGCCATGACGAACGACTGAGCTTACCTAGACAGGCCAACTCTGTCAGGACATTGAACCGAAAGCAAACACTGCCTGTGGTGCCCCCTGAATTTATTTCGTCCGACACCACGTCAAAAGATACCCGCCGCATGAGTACTGTGCGGTCAGGGTCCCTGTGCGTTGACACCCGCATTTTGGGCACAGCATCTTTCAGCCTTTTTCCGCCTTTCTCAGCTCCATATTTGTCCGGCGCATCGAACTTCAGATCTTGCAGATCGGTTGCGCCGGCCCTAAATACTACAGAATCGCCGCTAGGCCAAACTTGCTTTGAAGCCGAAGAAGACGAACACGAACCCTGTACACCAAGCCCGGAAGTCTGAACCTTACAGTTTCAAGACATGCCTCAGGTCCACGGAAGGTGCGAGATCTGCTTCTATGATGGCGCTAATACCTACTGCAGGCTACATTGTGAACCAAGCCATGCCAATCCACTCCTGTCAAGCTTGCTCTCTCTAGGAAAGAAAGACTACTGTAAGCAGAACGGCAGTGGTGCATAGCACCATAAATGAAACGCTCTAGGATCGACGTCTGGACCGGTCCGTCTCACTTTTCGGACACCTGAGCAAGATCCGCCGGGGTATGGTTGAGGAGAAGAGGCCTAGCTGTGAAAGTGCCAAATCGAAAACACCCAACACTGTGAGAGGTGCAACTTCGCAAGCATTCGGGTTTGGTGGCTTCAGATTACCCTGGGAAATTACCGCAAAGGAATCCTGCTCCAAATGTGAACTGCCGATAGCGCCCGTGAAAGAAGTCAGCCGGACAGCCTCTGAAACGCAATTAAGAACTATCGGTCCAGAAGGGACTAGCACTGATGTTCGACCCGGAAGTAGGCCTTAGATGGGTGCGTCTGTGCTGGCGGCCGCGGGAATTGACATTGAATCAATGCGCGCCTGGTGATTCTAGCAACTCCCTGAGTAGCTCCCAAAGGAATCGAGAATCTATGAATAAGGGCGACGAGAGTGTTAGCATCTGCTTGTCTGGTGGCCGTGCTCATGGTGTCTCAGGGCTCGTGGTCGTTTGCCATCGTTCTCTACTCCCGGTGGTTCTGCTATGCCAAACCCTAAACCTATCAAGGACCCCATGAAAGCCCTCAGAGATAGTACTACGAAATCGTGTTCGGGCCTTGGCCCAGTCCTTCTGGAACTTGTCCACGAGAGCTCGCTCTGAGTTCTCCTGTCTCACTCAGCGGCTTTAGGTCTTTTCTCTATGGCTTTAATGGCTAAGCGTTTTAAGCTTCTTTTGCCGACCGCAGAAACAGGAGCTTAGGGTTTTGGGCTTTCGGGTTGAGGACACCCAAGCATGCATACATACATACATACATACATGCATACATACATCCATACATGCATACATGCATACATGCGGCGTACATGCATACATGCATACATGCATACATACATACATACATACATACATACATACATACATACACACATACACAATATACATACATACATACATACATACATACCTACCTACCTACCCCTACCTACCTACCTACCTACCTACCTACCTACCTACATACATACATACATACATACATACATACATCCACATCCGCATCCGCATCCGCATCCGCATCCGCATCCGCATCCACATGCACATGCACATGCACATGCACATGCACATGCACATGCACATGCACATGCACACACACACATACATATACACATACGCACACACATACGCACAGACATGCACTTACATACACACGTACATATATACATACATACGTACACACGCACATACATGTTGTCCACGGAGACGCGCCTTGGGCGTGACCTTCCAGCCATAGGAGCAGCCTCGGTAGTCTCTGAAGGCAGGACGAGTGTAACGTCCTAAGCCTTAAACTTAAACACTTCAGGGAACCTTTACAGGAAACCGTCAGGGAACAGTGCGAAAGGACGAGTCACGGCTGTCTCCTGTTGTTTTCGCGAGACTTGTGCGGGTTGCTCAACCATGTCCAACCTGTGCTTCCAATTCTGGCCTTGAACTCAACCGATACAAACGTTAGCATAAAGGTTGCTTTCAGGATCAGGCCCACCCAAACATAGCTGTATAATAAGTTATGGCACTCCAGAACCCAGGATACAAATGTCCACCTCCGAACCGCCGGCATGTGTGGTTGGCAACATCAACTCTAAGTCCGAAAATGAAGACAATAGCCGTCAATTGCCTTTACCTGAGCTTCAGGCGACAAATCCGCATGCGGGGGGCTCCACTGGAAGGTTCCTTCACTGATGCCGGCTTCAGCCGTGATCGAGACTACGCATGTGGATAACAACAGCCACGTCGACACTACAAACACTGTCCAATCTGCAGAGTCTGAACCCTAACTGCGTTGCCCATGATCTAATGAAAGGCCAATGGGTGCACTAGTGGTTTCCCCACGCGTCACCTTGCACGAAAAGCTCGTCCGACGTGATGGCTGCCAATGCCCAGGTTTCAGGCTCTCGTGAAGCGTGCTGGGAGGCAGGACTCTCCAGTATATTATAGTAGAGTATTGTATACTATAGTACGTTATGGTATATATTTTAGTTAGTATATTATTGTACTTTATTCTATACTATAGTATATGATAGTAGGCTATAGTATGTACTTCGATATCGAAGGTGACAGCTGCCAGCAACAGCGCTAGCACTCGCAATGGCACAGCCAACTCCAAGTAGCCATCACTGATGCCTGCGACAAAGTCACCAAATCAACGAAAGCGGTAACACATCACACAAAAATAGCCGTGATACTCGTCGAAGCCATCACTGCTGGAACAGAGCAGAGCAACAGAATACGCGCATCACAGCAACTGCAATGCACACGGTCGCAGCATGAAGCGTCAGCTGCAACAGCAGCTGTAACGATGTGAGGCCTGCAGTCAGAGAGCCGCTGGATGAGAGGATCTGAGGAGTCGCGTTGCCAGGGACACGCGACAGCAACGATGACAGTTCGGCATGGGCACCTGCGACCGTGTCGATGATCTTTGAATCAGGAGCAGGAGGCAAGCTGACAGGAAGAGGGGCAGGGCAAGGCAGGGCAGGGCACCGTGTCGTTCCCAACGATGATCCCACTGATCGTGCTTCACTTTTTCAACGCCCAGGTCAGCTTCGGACGGTTACGAAACCCGGTCCACACTGAAACACCATGCTGCTAGAACAGTAAATCTGCACAAGCTCTCATCCCGGGGGCGTTAAATCAAAAAACACATCAACCGGCTCAACATCCTATAGCCCATGACAGGCCTATGCATGGCACAAATGCTCGACCGATACTACCCGACCGTATATCCCACAGGATAACATAGTAGAATATGCTGTGTTATACTATAACATGCTATAAGATACTATAACATACTATAATATACTATAACAGACTGCAAAGACCACAATATACTATAACAGACCATAATGACCACAATATACTATAACATACTATCATATACTATCATATCAGCCCCGTCCTCCACCACGAACTCCAGACCGCCCTCCTCGAGGGAGTCGAAAGAATCCTTCCAGCAAGGGACTTCTTGGCTTCTGTCCTTTTTTGGACTTGGGATTAGTAATTAGGGTGCTTGCTTCAGAGTCCCGAGACCAACATTAGAAAATTCGAAATTCTGAGAAGCTGTGGAACCCACAGGCGGCCTCCTTGGCGGTCAGTGGCCGAAACTTGAATATCACACCGGAGCTCGTGGTGCGGAGCTCCACCTTGTGCAGCCCACTGACTCAAGTCATTCACAGCATTTCCAGGATTTCGACTTCATGCTTCGCTGCTGAAGTAAAGGTGGCCAAGAACGGGAAGGAAACTGGCAAAGAAACTCCACAATCTTGTCCAAAACTCAGCCGCTACATAAACGCGCACGGATCAACCGGACCCTGTTCTGGTTAAGTCCTGGACCCCCAACCCCTTGAACGTGAAGATCTTCCCCTTTACATACATGCCCACCTACTTGCTAGAGTTTTTACAGTACTGCAAAAACTTGCATGTGGACGCCTTCGCCGCCTGAGTATTTCACAGAATGCATACTTGCTGCTTGTTTGGCCGCTGCACTAGAACACCATCCTGCTCACACTGCCAACGCAGGTTCTTGCATGGGATCATGCCCCGTTGCTGCCGTCGACAACCGCTTGTATTTCCCTTTTACGGCAGCATCTTAGGCCGGTGCGAGTGCGAGCATGCACATGAGTAGGTAAGTGTGTGTGTGTGTGCCTGCGCGTGTGTGTGTGTGTGTGCGTATGCATGCACGCAAGGATGCATGGATGTCTCCGCCCAGGCATGTGCGGGGATGCACCTGTGCCCTTGTGTACGAATGTAGGTATGCGTGTACATGCCTATATGAACAGACATTGTGTGTATATGCATCTTTCTAGCGGGTCAAATTACATACCGATTTATGAGCAAGGATTCTATTCTATGCTTGCATAAACGTGCACTACATACACACACACACAGAGACAGAGATCACAGGCAGATACCCTTTTGTGGACAAAAATTTCGTCTATTCACAGAGCCATGTGCTCACCTTATTGGTTTCCCAAGTTCATGAAGCCATGTTGTGCAGCAACGTGCACATGAGATGCAGACATACACAAGCCAATATACCACACTTACTCGCCTACACTCAGACATACATAGTCCACGGACGTGGTGAATTCATCGACCCACAATACCCCAACCAGGCGCCCAACCGGTGTCTTTACCTTGGGCAGGTTCGGATGCTTGAGAATCAGTCAGGTTCGGTTCAGCAGCGGCTGCAGGCCGAGATCCCCCTAGAGCTATAAAAATTACGCCTCGAACCACGATGCCCTGCAGGTGCTCATCGCTCCCGGGTTGGGGCCTGGTGTTCAGTACATCTCCTCAGGGTGAACCGAATGCAGGCACCTCCCTGAGCGTTAAAGCCCAAATCACGGCAGGCCTTCGCAGCCGGCAGGTGCGAGAGGTACTTTGCAACAGTGGGAAGTACGAACACATCCAAGGATAAAGTAGAAGCAGAAATTGCTGGGGACATCACGAGGTACTGGACAGCGTTCATTCGAAAGGAAGCCGGGGACGTAACAGCTGTTTGAAGCAACACTTCGATAGAGCGGAAATCTGCTGCGAACACTGTGCATGGCATATACTTCAACCATATTGTCCGCACAGCCCTAAACCCTAAATGCAAAACCCTAAACTCCCTAATCACCTCTTCCCCAAGTAAGCCTGAAGCCTCAAGGTCTGGCGGCTTCGAGGCGCAGCCAACGCCAGAGTATACGATGATTTACGTTTCTATGCTATAACAATTTTAATATATACCATAAAAACCATAATGTAATACAATGTAGCTGTTGTGTGCCATTACCGAACCTGAGTTTCAAACATCCGAATCACTAGCTCAAGACGTTCCAAAGGCAGCGGGCCCGAAGGGAAAAATGCCCGGAGCGCCCAGAACCCAGAACGGCTGTGTAGGACTTTAGGAGCTTCTTGAAGTCTCTAGTTTCGCCCGGCAGCAACATGCATCAAACTGGGTTCAAGAATAAGTGACATTTCTATGACATTTCATATCTTGAACTCGGACTCCTTCTGAGACACGTTTCGGAAGTTGCTCCGTGGCATCCCCCAAATTGCTGTCCATGAGACGCCCTGGCGCATCGCGCTTTTTCCTGGATTGTTGGGCGTGCATATACGGTGACTTTAGGGAGCGTCGAGACATTTCGGAACAGGAGCATACCGTAGATGGGTGTACCAACAGAGCAAGCTAGTCCCCAAAACCCTGAACCCTAAACCTGAAACCCTAAACGCGAAACCGTAAACCCTAAACTAATAGCTGCGCAGCTACACGGTGCAGCTGGGAGCTTTTCCTGCTCTTGGGATTCGCAGGCTTTTCCGATCCCGGTGGATGCAAACGTAGCTCTAGAAGGAACAGTGCAGAGTAGGGTAGCACTTCGTGTTCTAGGACACGTGCTACTGCAGTAGTACGTGGTTCGTGGACACCATCGACAGTACTAGACTGAAGTCAACAAGTTTCATCTGTCATTGCCAGGAGGTGAGTCATTAACTATGTTCGGTCCTCGAATGTTGCATGGTGTGTGTGTGTGTGCGTGTGTGATCCGCAATGTGGACTGCACAGAAGCCAACAAACCTAACGTGAATTCATCCCGAAGCCCTCAGCTTGTGATTCTACATCCGGAGATGCAAGTAGTAACTGGTCCATGCGAACAGACCTGCTACAGCACAAAATCCGGAATTTTGTGAACCCTACGGCTGGAACAAACCCTGCCGCAAACGCTAAACTCCCAAGCCATGGTCTCTAAACCTCAACATTCTTAAACCCTTAAACTCTGAAGCCCTTAACCTCCTGAACCTCCTGAATCCTAAACCCTTAACTGACCCTTAACCTCTTAACATCTCTTATAGCCTCTTCAAACCAAAGAACCCAAACCAAACTCCTATACGCCCTAATCCCTGAACCCTTATGCCCGGATGCCCCTTGTGGACACGCCTGGCCCGAAGAATTCATCGGCCCACTGCTGCACGAAAAACCTGAAGAACATCGACAACGATTATTACGGTTTAGTACCATTTTGTAAAAATATTCTTCTTCTGCTTCTTCTTCTTATTATTATTATTACAACAACTACTACTATTGATATTACGATTACCTACGACGACGACTACTACTACTCCTCCTCCTGCTGCTGCTGCTGCTACTGCTGCTACTCTTGCTGCTGCTGCTACTACTACGCCTACTGGTGCCGCTGCTGCTACTGCTACCACTACTACCACTACCACTACCACTACCACTACCACTACGACTACGACTACGACTACGACGACTACTACTACTACTACTACTACTACGACTACTGCTACTGAAAACGGCAACAACAACAATAAGAAAAAGCGTAAGTGAAAGAACAACAACAACAACATCATTATGGCACAGACAACGCTGTTGATGCAGGGTCTATGTCGGGCGAGCAAGCCCTTCCGCTCCCGCCCGGACTTTCCTCCCGCCCGGACTTCACTTCACGGTCCTTCAGCCGCCGCCCAAAAACACCAACAAACAAACTCCTACAACTTCCATGTGCTGGTTTGTTCCCAAATCCCCTAGACCCTACAAACCCTAAAACAACTGTGAAGCCTGGGCTCTGCCAAAGATTGCAAGTCCCCAGAAAGCCCAATGAAGCCCCCCCTATCGAAGTTCAACGCAGGAGGGAGTTCTGGAGTCCTGACACAGCTTTGGCCACGTCATCTATCTCAGCACGCCAAACTTCAGGACCGATAAACGGTAAGAGCCTTGGCAGTCGATCGCAGAATTGGGACTTCTTCCAAACAAGGGAGTCCGCTTTTATCTGACCCTTCCTCCAGTGAAACTGTGGAGACTTGTGCGTCGGGTTTGACCTGCTTGGTGTTTGTGTGTGTGTGTGTTGGTTGCACTCAAGCCTTCATAATAAGGTTCCTCTGCTTCAAAGCTGTACTGGAAAGACTTCCTGCAGGGTATCCTGCATGCTCTCTCGCACACAATGTGACAGTGAGATTTTTGCATCCTTTCAACATTATGCACCAAGGGGTGTAAACACACTGTACAACTAAGAGTGATTGAATGACCCGGCACGATGACCACGACTCTACCCATAATCCCGAAAATCTCTTGTGGTTGGTCATGTCTGTTTTGGGCATCTTAGCAAGGGCGTGATGCAACAAGACTGAGAGCTTCGACACGTACTCTCCGGCCCCTGGTCACAACTTCAAACCCTAAAGTCTGCACCCCAAGCCCCAAACCGTAAACCCGACACCCGAAACCCCAAATAGCCCAAAACCCAACTCTGGCAACAGGGCACCGCAAGTGTCCCAAGGGTCACGGAACTTCAACCCGCGAGTCCCTTGGCTGTTGGGGGTGAAAATACACATGCGTCTATTATGAATTTGATGACGAATAGGATTCTACCGTCAGTGACGATGGTTATGATGATGTTTGCTGTTGTGATTATTCTGGCTACGTGATTGGTGCACGATTCCGCCACAAAGTCTCAGGTCACTGTCAACGTGCAAAACTCAAAACCTCACTTCGGTCTTCGAGACCTTCTGGGAGCTCGTAACCCGACATGCACGGGTCGGGCGGCCACTCTGCCCGTCACAGTGCAGATTCCTGAATGTAAGGTAGATGTATTGCAGGAGCCTGAATAATTTGAACTGGTCTTGGGGACTATGATACTATAATGATAAGAGGGGACTGAAGGGAAAAGTTAGATGTTACTAAGTATTCCGACCTCTATGTTGCCTTTTTTCCTTTGCAAAATTCTCCCACGGCATATCACCCTTACAACAGAGGTTCCCACAGCTCCTCCCAAGCAGCCGCTGCCCCGCCGGGAGCCTCTTGGCTAGGACCGGTCAAGTCGGAAGCTGGGGTACCTATGCTTGGAGGATCAGGGGACTGGGTAAGTAAGGTGGATGAGTACGTACCTTAATTCGGTTGCCAAGTACTTATAAGTATCTAGATAATTACCTTCTTCATCACCCTTGTTACGACGCCCCAAGATCATTTGAGTAAGGGAGGCTTCAAACGGTAGGCGATGGGTGCATGTTTTGGGGCCTGTGATCGAAGTTCGAGTTGTTGAAGGAAGAGTTCACGCCACTCTCACCCCCCAGGAAAAGATCTTTTTGCAGACGCTGAAAACCCTTCAACCTAACGTGCAATCCTCTGCAAGTAGCAAATTCCCGCGAAACCACCCTGCAAGTACCCACTCGCCGCGCTTTCAGCCTGGATAAGGCTGAAGTTGGAATTCACCTCGAGGTTGATCACCTTTGGAGGCTATCGCTTCGCTTGTGGTAGCAGGTCAAAGCCGGATATAAGAATAGCACCGGTAGTAATAAGAAACATAATGAATTCGTTTAATGGTAGTGCCAATACGACTGTCAATGACGCAACACTATTGACTATTGAATATTGACAATCAAGCTGAGCCAAATTTTCCCGAAGAGCAAAGTGCAAAGCGCTGTATCCACTTTATTAACCCCCCCCCAAAGACTCTGGTGTTGGGCTTTTTCTGTGTGAACGCTCCTCCCCTTTCTGCCTCCCCCCCCCTCCCCCCTCCGGCCCCAAGCACAGCCGGGCCAAGGCGGACGACGCGAAGCGTTTAAATTATGGTAGTAGAAGCAGCACTGTTTGTAGCAATACTGCCTAAATCGTCGTCATCGTCCATGCATTAAGTGTAGCTGCAGTTGTAGCTGTCCGGCAGGCTGTGATCGCCGCGACTCCAACAATACTCCAACAAACTATTCCCTCCCTGCCCCCACATTCAAAACCACCCTTCAATGGCCCCAGCCCTCCAACCAAACAAGCAGCCTGCAGTAACGCTTCTGCAGCAGTTGTACTTGAGGTGCAGCCCTCCACACCTAATCAGCGTCTGTTGGGCTAAGGCGCCTACATTAGCCATCGGGATGACATGCTGGGTCGAAGCAAAACAAAGGTGTGGAGCCTCCAGTGTGCTAGAAATTTCCGCAGAAGTGTGCTCGCACTTGCAACAACACATACTTTCAACGACTTTGGGTGCAGGTGTTGGGTTTGCAAGACTAGGGAATTGTCCAAGTCACTCAGCTTGGGCAAGTGCAACAAGACCTCACAGAGCCTTCCCTACGCATGCTGTGGTTAATTTTCGCAAGTCGAGTCGTGCCAAGCATGTGTGTGTGTGTGTCTCTTTGAGAACCTGCTATTGATTTGATAGGCAGACGGAGGAGCAAGTCCATGTATATGCTATGTTTGTGAAGGAACATGTCGCCAAAGTCGCATTTCTCTCATGGCCTTCCATCAAACTCCATTGCACTGTTGTGCCCGAGAAACCTTCTGAAAACCTCCTGCGCTGATACACGAGCACCAACCCCAACCACGTTTTCCGAACGGTATAGTCACTCTTGTTATCGAAGCCGAATAATATGGTATTGATCCATCCCTCGACATATACATGCCGTAACAGCGCGGAACTATTCAGCACACCTCCTTCGCAAGATTCGTCAGACACCTTTTAGCATGACTACCACGTCGACTGAACCCGCTGAAGTTGTGATCGCCGTGAGCCTGCTTCTTCCGCAGGGAAGCAGCACACCTTCCGAAGCGCAATCTCAATGTTCCCTCGGGTCTACTTTCGGAGTTTTCAAGGGGAAAGTAAACTGCCCAGGTCAGAGCCCTCAGACATGCCATCGCTACGTGGTTTCGGAGTTTTCAAGCAAAGAGGAAGGTAAACTGCACAATGCAGACCTCTCAGACATACAATCACTACTGAGCCGAAGACTGCCAGAAGCACCCGTTGCAATGCTCGGGTTCAGGACTCGTTCAAGCATCGCATGGGAAGGCTGTATAACGCATCATGCTCCTCGAGGTGTGCAATGACATGTGCAGTGCACAAGCCAGGGTCCATCTCATTATGCTGTACCTGCTTTTGGGCATGCCTACCCCGCATGGTCACAAACAACCCTCAACCTATCTATCTGCATTGAAACCGCATCCTGGAGAAACTGGCCACCCTCGCGATAGAATCCAAAACCATCTTCTTCATATGCAATCGGCAGACGCACCTCTCCAGCTGCTGCGCCTGAGGCTGGTGGATCACCCACACGAACCTGCTTCCGATCGGGCTCAATGCTCTTGGGTGCAGGTCTGCAACTGAAGTAGCAGAAGGCCTAACAACAGAATGAGACAAGAAGATATGTGGGGATGCTTTCTCGAAAGTGCCATTCAGAGACACACTGCGCACCGTGTGCTAAGCACGGTGTTGTTTGTTTTCGGGCGTTCTGGACACACCTGCTTGCATCTGTTTCATGTCTATGTGTGCGCACCACGGCCGGCACCGACAAGGCGCGGCTTCAATTCATGAAGACACCAAAAGCACTTCAGCTGCACAGCAACAGACCCGAGGTCCGTAGGGCCGCAGCAATGATAAGCTCCGTAGTCTACGGCTGGTGGCTGTTGTAGGTGTAGACTATCATCTTGATTGGCTCATTTTGTGTCATGTCTGTCATTGCTTTTCCGCCTGCTCCCATCCCTCGTCGTCATCCTATTTTTTAACGTATTCTTCCCGTCCCTATTAGCACAATATCTTCTTCATCTACTCGGCAGTGACTTTCAGTGTCGCCGGTGGCGTGGCGATGACCATCACCATCATCAGTATGGACCAGTACCGTCCTCATCTTCATCGGTCTTCTGATACTTGGGGCTTCCGGCTACAGTTTGGTTGTTACTAAAAAAACCACCACCATTTCTTCCTGGGCACTCCAAGCTGAGAGGAGCTCCAGTCTGTAGGGCGACAGGTTGAAGACAGAGTTTGCGCGAAACATCCGAGAAAGCAGGTGGCACCGGCCTTTTGTCTCGCTGGTTCTTGCGCGACGGGGTCTCGTCTCTACGTGTGGGGTTTCCGAACCTATCCGGCTTCGAGATCTTTGCCATGAGGATCCTACAGCTTTCCGAGTCTATCTGAGGGGTCCCTTCTTCTCGGAGTCTCCCACGTGAATCGAAGGCAAACCGGGACCGGGACATCCTTAATTTGTCAAAGGATGCCCGGCCCCTCGCAGGAGTTCAGATTTGGGTGGCCGGGAAGGGGGGGCCATCTGAGATTATAAATCCTCTCCGTTTCAGCGGATGACGATTTCACCGAGTGTCGCGGTGTTCCCGAAGTGTTGAATCTCAAGGCTGCAGCTGATCAAGTAGCAAGCTTCTTGGACTGAGCTGAACATCTGTGGCTTTCTGTACAGGCGAGGGCCTAGAGCATGGCTTGACGGTGGCTTAGATGGTAAACTATCCTGGTCTACATGGTTAGACTGATCATCCCTATTATTCGGCCCTACACCCTACACCCTAAACCCTACACCCATAATATTCGGCCCTGTATCTTCAGGTGTCCCCCTGGACTGCAAAGACCAAAGGCAACAGTTCTTCTTGAGACTCCACCAGTCCTGAGCCTTGAGTACCAGAAAACAATGCAAAACAGAGACTCCCAAAAAATGCGGCTGTGCGAGTTAGACTTAGGCCTAGGTTCAATGGCGCTTCGAGCTAGGATTTGGGCTGAAGGATGCCAGGAAAGCTAGACTGCTGGGCACGACTGAACTCCTCACGAACTGGACGCGTAGGTGAACAGTTAATGGCAGACTCCAATGCTGCTCGCAACGTCGTCGCAAGCAGCAACGGAGATTTCTACAAAATACATGGCACCATGGAAGCTCCAGAATAAGACATCAGGTTGACTGACATCATGTTTCGGCCACGACGCTAAATCAAGGCCGCCGCCTCAACAAGACTTGCACCGAGCTACCAATCAAAAGTGACAATGCTCGACTGTATGCTTAAATTCTTGGGCGGCCACGAAAGCGACGATAGGACAAAGCTCATACAGCTCAGATATTTCGTCAGTTCAGGTTCATGGGCTGCTTAAGGTGAAGCTTATTCAGTCTGGCTTTGATCCTGACCATGCTCCCTATGCCCTACGCTTTCAACGGACCCGAAGCCCATGAACCTCTGCAAGCTCTCTGCACAGAATGGGGAAACCCCAGGACCAGCCACTGGCGCATGGAAACCAGCTGTGTGCTTGCATGGTCATCATGGGTTTGGGGTTTCGGACTTTGGGGGAGTACGGGTTCAAGGTCTTTCCAAGTAGCGACGGCTTTATATCTTTGTTGACGGCCCTTTTGGGTTTCTGGCTTAGGCTTTACATAGAGTCTGAGCACGAAGACTTCCAACATGCTTCTGGCCACCGGAGATCTCGAACAAACCTAACTGTGCCAGCACCGGTCCCTTCCCATATCTCGTAGAATCTGTGAAAACTCGTTCGGGCACGACCTAGCAGACGGGCGGGTAGAATGAATTGAATGTCAACAAGCCTCAGACTACAGTAACAACTCAACATCACTACCGCTTTGAAGCTCACACAGAGCCCGGCCCATCAAAACCCGGCGAAGGATGCACCCCGACGGGATTTGCACCGCATCGGAAAGCAGAGCTACACAAACAACCTGGTGTATGGCCCCTCAAAGTCACTCAAGTATGATGTGGCTCCGCCCAGTGACATCGTCGATGTTAAACTCCCTGTGGCAAACATGTCCTCTGGGTCCATATTCTTGGTCAGAGAGACCGAAAACTGCCCCAAGCCTTCGCGATTCTTGCGTAGCTGGTTTCAACAGCTTGCTTAAGGATAAGCAACTAAAGAAGCTGCTAGAAACAATGCCAAGGAAACCCAGTGAGGTTTCACAGAAGCTGGGACGACGGGACTCGTCCTTGCTCGACCTGGGATTTGAAGAAACCAGGGAGAAACCATATATATATATAAACTAGTATTCAGAATGGCTCCTGTAAAGTTCAGGTACCGAAAAAGCTATTAACGTATTACGATTAATTAAGGTTTAATGGCTATTGTTCGTATCATTGGAACTGTTGCGAGTACCCGTATCGTTATGAGCATTCGCATCATTATTATATTATATGCCATTATGATTGTTAGTTGTAGTAAAGTATGGTATTCCAAGACCAGCAGCTTCTCTGCCATGAGCTCTGGATCGTCAACGAGGCTCGCGGGCAAAGGTATTTGATCCAGCCCGGGTGGTGTGTAGGAGCTCGAAAGGTCCTCCGACCGCATGGGCCATGCTGTTTGGGCATAGGCATATTGCGGCTCGAGCCAGCCTTCGACATTCATGGGGCTCTGGGAAGGTCGCATGTAGGTGGCAAGGACTTGGGATGGCACGGCGCAAGGCTGGAAATTCTCCAAGGTTGCGTACTGCACCTGCATGATCTTAGCCTTCGGCTTTATGCTATTCAGGTCGTGCACAAACCTGCATGCCACTCCCCGTGAACAGTTGCCCTTCTTCACCCAGTCAAAGCAAGGCTTCTGGCTGGGACGCAACTCCTCCGTGGTGTGTGCGAAGGTGCAATCCGTCCCCATTTTGCACTCGTCTGTCTTCCAGAATTTGCACATGCGGGTGAACTGCACGGCTTTCTTCCGCTCGGCTTTCGTCATGGCTGCAATGATGCCCAAAGATACGACTCTTATCTTAAAATTCTCAACTCGAGCTCCAGGCAGCGACGACAACAGTGAACCTCTGAATCCGCCGGCCATTGAAATCTATGAACTATAAACCTTGATTAAGCTGTGGGCTGGAAACACTGTAAACCTCAAAAAGCCTAAACCTTCCAACCCTGAAAGCTCAGCTCTAGAGGCCCGATCTCTGACCTGCAGGTAGACACGCCGGTTTAGTCTACAGGGTTTAGGGCCATGAAGCTAAAGACGATGAAAAGCCAGACCCCAGATATTCCAAACCCCCCAAGGCGAATCCTTCCAACAGGCCTATGCACCAATGATGCACGATTCATGGCTTCCACCTTTCTTCAGTCACTATGTTGACGTGGTTGTCGTCGCCGTCACCGTGCTGGCGCCATCAACATTTCACCATTCTCATGCGCAACCGAAACCGCCACCGCCACCACCACCACCGCCGCCGCCACCACCACCACCACCAACAACAACAAGAAGAAGGTGCAAGCGCAACAACAACAACAACAACCACAACCACAACCACAACCACAACCACAACAAGAAAAAACAATAATAATAACAATAATAATAATAATAATAAGAAGAAGAAGACGAAGACTAAGAAGACGAAGAACACTAACAACAATAACAACAACAAAACAACAACAACAACAACAACACCAACAACAACAACAACAACAACCACAACGACGACGACGACAACAACAACAACAACCACAACCACAACCACAACCACAACGACAACCACAACCACAACCACAA